TATATATAACAAATTATTTTTGATCTGATAATTGATAAATTCTTGATCCAATTAGATATAATAAAATTGTATCTTTATTTTATTCAAACATAGACTTGTGTTTAACTCAAATAAAAACAATTGGGCATTGAATTTCACATAAAATTAGACAATAAATCTCACACTAGCCTTTTATCACACTACAAAATCTTCTTAGAAATCTGTAAAGAAATTAACAAAAAACTCTCACCTTAATCTCATTATAGTTAGTTCATTATTGTCTGCATGTCATTTATCACTGAACTCTTATATTATATGCAGCAATCATGAATTATTATTTTTAAAACAACTATAACAAAAAAAACATTATATGTATGATCCTCAAGTACAATTATGAGTATACAATTACAAACTGATTAACATCATAATTTTAGTCAGTCTATAATTACATATTTATAATTTTTTATAATGCTAAGATATTCAAGTATGCATTCTCGATGCAGATTATAGACAAGATAATTGTTAACAAACAAAAACTTTTGTTTTCTAGATCCTTTTTATTATAATTGTGACTTCTTTGTAATTGATATCTCAATTAAAGTATTTAGACTTATATGATTTTAGAGATTTTTTATTGTTTAAATAATAAAAAATTCCCAAAATTGAATAAAGTCTAAATACTTTAATCTCAATGCTTGATATAATTGAATCAAATTTTAAAAATATAAAAAGGATATTAATAACTTCATTGAAACTCAAAGGAATCTGTTAATTAAATTTTATACATTAATATCATTACTTTGAATATCGAATATAAAGTCTAAATCCTTAAGCCAACCTAATCTTGAATTAGCTTTAATCCAATATCACATTCTAATAAAAGAAAACTATATACATCCAAATTATCCAGAAAACAAGGTCATTTTGGATCACAAGATGAGAATGTGATACTAAATATGAATATGATACAAGAATTATCACAAAACAGAATTGTAGAAGAAGATATATTACATGTTGAACCTATGAAAAAAGTTATTATAATATAAGAAAAAACTGTTAAAGTAAAACATACTAGAACATCATACACTGGAATATTAAGAACAACAATCTAGAGAAAAAAACAAAAAGTTAATATATAGTTAGATACTAAAATATTATCTGATTTGTTGCATCTATTTCTGGCTACTAATATTATAAAATAATTACAGTTAACACAACTATCTTCTGTAACATTATTAGAAAATGCTTTGTTATTAGTAAATTTAACATGACTATCCATATTAAAACCCTCTATAACATTAATGTTACCTACCACTTATAACTTATTATCATCTGTTGAAGCTACAAAAAAACTAGAAATGCATTTAAAAGAAGTTAATATACAATGTAAAATTTCAAAATCTTCAAAAGCTAACATATCTATATATAATTATTTGCATCTTTTAAGCATAAGTAGGTATATAAAGTTATTACTAGACAGATGGGACAAGATGAATGCAAGCATTTATCTTGCCTAAACTATATGGACAAAGGAGAATATATAGCAAAATGTATTAGAAAATGGAAAAATCACTATATTAAACAGGGGAGCTTCTTATTAATCATCAAAGAAAACATTCTAAGTTAAAAAGTTTAATAAAAAATAAAGATTTTTTTGATGAATGTATGTCTTAGTTATATTAACAAAAATCAGAATTATGCTCTTATTAAGCTTTAAAATTATATATTGAAATGACAGTATTTTCTCAAATAGCAGAAAATATTAAAAAAGATATCATTTCTGAAAGAACATATTGAACCTATATGCACTTGTGAGGGTTTAGATATAATGAAAAAAAGAAAGAAGTTTATTATGATAGACATGAGAGATCAGATGTGGTAATTTATAGACAGGAATGACTACATAGAATGTTCACTTACCAGAAATATATGAAGAGTTTTGACAGTGATAAATTGAATATTGTGGTAGAAATTCAGCTTAGTTCTGAAGAAAAAGAAATAGTATAAGTAAGTATATATTTTTTAAATGCATATTAAAATCCTTATAAAAATATGTCTATAAATAATAATAATACAGGTTACATATGATAAATGCTATTTTTATGCCAATGATAGGCAAAAAAGAAGCTGAATTGCAAAAAATAAAAATCTCTTATATCTAAAAGGTGAAGGGTGTTCTATTATAATTTCAGCCTTTCTCTGTCCATGTTATGATTAATGTGGTTATCAAATAAGCTGATGGAAGCAAATTCACATATCAAACATAAAGAAGCATTCATTCTTTGTTCTATACAGTCAAACAGATACTGGAAATCTGAACACATGTTGGAACAGCTGATGCAACAAACAATTCTGATATTTGAGATGCTTTATCCTGACTGCATTGGAGTCTTCTGTTTTGATCAATCAACAAATTATAATGTGATGACAAAAAATATATTAGTTACAAATAGAATAAATCTTGGTTCAAGAGGGTTGCAACCTAAATTGTATGATGACTGGTACAGTAACAAAAATGGAGAAAAATTATATAATCAATGATATTTCCAAATAATTATGAAAAAATAGAGTTGCAAAAAAAACCAAAAAGAATAAAACAAATATTATCAGAATATAAATTATAACCATCAGAAAGTGTTCAATTGGTATATGAAAAATGTTCTAGAAAAAATAAAGAAGATAATCCAAAAAGGTTAAATTGTTGTATATGAAAAATAATATTACAACAACCTAATTTCTGTGAACAGAAATTAATTTTAGAAGAAACAGTTTTTAATAAAGAGTATATCTTTGAACAATATCCTAAATTTCATTATAAATGTAATTTTATAGAGAGATATTGGGGATATGTAAAAAAAAGAACAAGAAAATTATGTAAATATAATTACATTGACTTGGTATGACAAGTTCCTATTGCTCTTGTTAATGTTTCTGTAACAACAGTTCAAAAATTTGCTCACAAATCCTGGAGATACATGGATGCCTACAATAGAGGTTTAGAAAGAAGAATTGCCAAATAGGATGTTAGCAAATATAAGTCTCATCATCATCTGCCTGAAAACATTGAAAAACAAATAGATTTGAAATAGGGTAACTTATCAGAATGTTTTAATCTCTTATAGTCTATTTTGTTTTCTTTTCTATATTTAATAAAATTTTTTTGAAAATTAAAAAAACGATAAAAAAGATGTACCGTTGTACGTTCATCGATACATAATACTAATTTACATTATGATTTTATTGGTTAATCACGATCACGAGAAAATTGAAACATTTCACATGATTAGCGATTATAGATTTCCGGAACCATAGCATTACATAAGCATTTTATACATTTTACAATACATTGTTCAGAATCTTGGGTAGATTGTTTCATCTTTTAATCAGGCCTAGTTACTAAGCAAACCTGAAGCTTTCATACTGCATTTTAATATCGGTTGAATCCCATTTAATCACGCGACCTTCAACTAAGATTTACTTAACAAAATTCCACTTAAAAAGGAACTAAACTGACAAAATTCCGTTCATTTAAGTATAAAAATAGACTAAAAGGTAATGAAGGCAAATCACAAGGTATTAAGTATGAGTGCAAGCATTGTTTCTATATATAAAAAATATGATAGAAATATTTTTATGATTAACTAACTTCATATAACTTTTATTTCATTTTATATAGTCGTTTAATTTATAATAAAGCATTTATGTAATATATATTAGAATCATATAATAATACTTTGAATTAATAACATATATAGTTATATTAGAATTGAGGTTAGATATAGAAGCGCTGAAACAAATCTAAAGCGAATATAATATATCATATACAGTAGATTATTAAGATTTTATACAATAATAACGGTAGTTAACAATAATTAATTCAGTCAATAAAATATTTCAAACTAATAAACATATATTTATTAACTTCTCAGAAGTATTTATTAAGATTTATCTCGAACTTTAGATTAAAATTATTAAAATTTTAATTCGATTTCTTAATTTTTGCAAGTTTAAAATTTACGATGACATTACTTCAACATTGTTTTTTATCATCAAATTAAAAAAAATAATGATACCAAAAAATAGGTCATTAATTAAATAAAAATTATTATGTTCACAAATGTCAACATAAAATAAAAAATTTTGCTTTTTTAAAAAAATTTATGTTCTTGTGAACACTGAGAACAAATGATTTTCAACACTGATCCGGACCTAACCTGGTATACATTTTTCTATAATAACAAAAAAGCAACAGAATCTAATGCAATACTAAATATCACTTGATTTTGGACGTCCCCAATAGTTTGTATTACATCTATAAAATTGGATCAAATTTCAATAGGTCCAGTTCTATATAAAAGCTTTACCAATTAAATGAATTTAAACTGTTAAGGTACCTAAAACAAATACATTTTAAATTTTTTTATTTGAATCCTATAAGCTTATAGAATTAAAATATAAATTTCAGAATAAAGGCTTATTTTGTCACTATTCTTTTTAGAATTTCCAGCAATTTTTATTTGAAGTCAATAATAACATGTTAAGCTTTCGAAGCCTAAATAAAATCTTTTTTAAAATGAGTTTCAAAGTTTAGATTGTACTCTAAATATATTTGTTTCATTGTAGTTTTATTTCTTGCCAAATACAAATCCTGATACTATGTGCAATAAAGCTTTAATTTTTTGGTTGAATTTTGTGTATCGGTGTACCCATTCCGCGGATTATAGTGAAAATTGTGATAATAAATGTTGGATGTTTCAGTTGTAACTCTGAATTAAATCATAACGTTTCAAACATTAGCAATAGGTAGGAATGGACAAAAGAAAGACTGACTGCTCATTATTTTACAAATTTCAAATACTAAGGTGCTCTATCCTTGTACAAAATAGCATCTAAATTAAACCATATCAGTATATATATCAAGCAGTTGTTTTGTTTATCATGGTACGCAATTTATTTAGTTATACGAATTTTGTGTATGGTTTCTTCTAACTCTTTTCTATACTTTCGTCATTGTTAACACTATGTTAGAATATCCCAAAGGTGAAAATCAAGAGAAACTCATTGACTTTAGTGAATTTCATATTCAGGAAGTACTTGATGAGGGTGCATATGGACAAATATCCAAAGCAGTATGGAGAAATGATGTAGTTGCTCTCAAAAGGTTAAAATCAAATCGAGAAGAAAAGCATATTATTAATGAGGTACAACCGTATATTTATAATATAATTAAAATGCCGAATTCTCGAATTAAAAGGTTTAAATTACATAGCTTCAACACTTTAAAAATGTTGATTTTCATCAGAATATTATTAAATTCTATGGTGTCACTAAAGGTAAATTGACTATTAATGTCAAATTATATTAAAAGTTTATGTAAAAGTTTATATAATTAAGTTATAACCTTTAATATGAATAAACAAAAAGACAAGCAAAATTCAAACCTCCTCTATGTCGTTCTGCAATATGCTGAAAGTGGAAATTTACGAAACCATCTAAACAAAAAGCAAGAAAAATTAAGATGGGGCGACAAATTAACAATTGCAAAAGAAATAGCCGATGGGCTAAATTTTTTACACAGCCATGGAATTATTCACCGGGATTTTGTAAATATTTCCTTGTTTGCCTATTATAAATTATTTCGGCTGAAGCTGAGGTCAGCTGATGTTAAGAGCTGTCTATATTTTTTAATGAAATTTTAAAAATTTGAGGGTACATTTTTTTAGCCTACCTTTTAGGATTAGGTTAGATCTCATGGTTAAATTTGTTAATAAATAGTGCTCTGCAAAATCAAATCAAACTATGATTTGAAGCACAAACTTTGATTTGATTTTGCGGAGCACTAATATGGTATATGTAGAGTTTAATAGGTTTAGTAGACTCATCTTAAGACCTCAAATCTCAATATCAGCCAATTTCAGCATCAGCTTCGGCATAAATTTATTTACGTTAGCTAATAATGTTTTAAATATGCTTAGCATTCAAAGAATATCTTAATTCATCATGAGCGACCCAAGATTGCAGATTTTGGATTATCTAAACATGAAGACATGGAGCTTATAACTCCACCTTATTGTGGAATGCCTGAATACACTGATCCTCAATGCTTTGAAAATCCTTTATTTACTTCTATGAAATCCGACATTTATAGCTTTGGTGTTATTCTCTGGGAAATCTCTAGTTGTAGACAGCCCTTTCAAGGCAAAGAAACTTATTATATCATATGTAATGTTCACAAAGGAATGAGAGAAAAAGCAGTATACGACACACCAAAAAGATACATGTTACTCTATGTCAATTGTTGGGATTATGATCCTAATAAACGACCGGATGCCAAATTAGTTTTTGAGAAACTTCAAGCCTTAGATAAAGATTATTCCCCTGACATGGATACTATTGAAACTACCGACATCCAAAATTTTGACGACTGCATAATTGAGAGTGATACTGGTGAACAATCTTCTGAGGTTCAAGTAAGCGTTAACTTATTCAGTCCAACCATTAAATCATATAAATTTAAATTGTCAAAAGAGGAAAAACTCAATCAAGTGCGGAACAGAATTTTAAATGAGGAAAAGTCTAACGGTATACGATTTGATTATTTTTTGAGCAAAAAAAACGAACCAATTCTTCATGAAGAGGAATCTAATCTACCTTTAGAGTCAATTTTACGAGAATCTATTAGTAAAAATTATTATCACATCCAAATTGTTGATGTTTGGACAAAATTAATAGAAATGATTGAACAAGGATTCGTATTTGAGGACAATCTGGTTAATAACGCACCAAAAGTTGCATTTACGATCAACAAAGATAAAATCAAATCGATAATTTTTAAGGCCAAAGAGAATAGCACTATACCAGAATTTTTTAATTATGAAGAAGAAAAAATAGAAGAATGTAAGCGAGAATTAGATATTTTATGCGCCAGAAACCTTATTTCATATAAAGATTCAACCATTGTACCCTGGCTTTCTATTTTTCTTGGAAAGTCAAAAGAGGCTTCTCTAGAAAATCTTAAAAATAAAATGACCACAGAAATTTTCATTACAAAATTCAAAAAAGCTGAAATATTTATTTCAAAAGAATATATTATCTTAACAGAGGAATTTAAAAGAAAAATCAAAAAGACAATAAATTCGAATAAAAACTATCATGAAATAATGGATAACCTTCGAGAAATAACAAAAGATTATGGCTATTTTTATGCGCGTCATATCGTTTTTGGGGGAGCTATAATAGAAGAAACAAATCCTGAAAACTCAAGTGAGTAACATTAATTATGGAAAACAAACGTGAGGTTTGGTCAAACATAAAAATTTGCTGTATTTTACTCTAAATCCCAACCTTAAATTTAATAAGTTAGTACTATACAGTAAGTACAACTAATGTTACATTATTATATGCTATTTTACGTTGGACCTAATGTTGCAAGCTAAATTAGGTTTCAAAGTGAAGAGCTTCAATAATCGGTCATGCTAGTCTCACATTTGTTCCACAATTAATCATTAATGGGTTAAATTCTGCTTTTAAATATCTAAAGATAAAAATTTAAATATTTTTAGCTTATCCGAGAATTATTGGTGGAGGAAATTTTGGTAAACAACCTTCTCCAAAAGAATTTGCGGAATCACTCAAAGATTTTAAAAAATGGAGAATAATCGAATATAGTGACATTTGTTCAATATTTGATCTTTTAGATGATGAGTTGAGAAAAAAAGTTTTGGATCTGTTAGGTTATCGAATTTTAAAAGGTATTTTATTTTATGAATATTTTAATAATCCATAACGCGCGTGATCAATCGGAATATTGGTCAAAATTTGTCAGAATATTTCGAGCCGGCTAAACTTCTCGTCTCACACAATAACGAATTACAGTATGATAAATATACTAATTTATTTGTCGTTATTACTTTATTAATAAACAGCAGATATTAAAGATATTCCATTAAATCATGATTTCTCCGAAAAAAAATTCTATATCTATTCATTAGCCCCACAATTAGAGGAATTAAGTAAAATTACAAATATTCAAGATTGTCATATATTTGCTTCAATCATGAATAAAGATGATGGTGTTTTTTCTTTACGAGTAGAATATATTAATGACGAAAGTAGCCCTGCGATTGTAGTTCATAACATCACAAATATTCAAAATAAATATCCAATAAGAATAGGATGGATTATTGTCGGACAACCAAATAATTTTGATTTTCACTTTGTTCATACCGAATATCCTATAGTACTTAAAAGTAAAAAATGCTCTGTTTCTTATAAAGCAGGCAAACATTATAGGATAGAAATCCCAGATTTTGATGGATCCTGTATGTTGAGTACATGTGTACTTGAAACACCATCTAAAACAACCCAAGCAACTTTTGTTGTTGGTTCACATATTATTCCTTCCAGCCATTTAGCATGCATATTTGTCCATGATCTTAAAGATAATACAATTAATGATGATGAACTTTTCCAGAAATTAAAGTTGTTTGTTTGGTAAATTTCTTATTATAGTAATGTGAATTATTTACCATTAATTTTACTAATTAATTTATATGCTTGTTGACAGCACTATTGATGCTAATCAAAAATGCAATGGTGGTCAATTAAATATTAATTGGATAAAGGATAAAAATCATCCGAATGTATTTCATAGCGGAGAAGAAATGTCGAGCATCTTTTCTGGAAACAAAAAAACTGAAAAAGCAGAAAATTTATATAATCAACTAATATTAGTGGACCAGCTTTTTGAAAATTGTTGGAATCATGGTTTTATCAATGTTAATTCTAAAGGAATTATTTTTAAAGGTTTAAATACACCATCTTTGGATTCTGAAAGAATTGGATACTTTTTAATTCCAAAAATATCCAACTAAATACATTTGTACTAATTATAATACTCATTAAATATGGATTGCATTGCATGGTTGCATAAATAAAAGTGGGTTTAGGATTGCACATTTAAAGTAAAGACAAAAATAATTGAAAATAGCAAAGATTAAATCACTTATCGAGTAGGAAATTAATAATAATAGTCCTCTATGACCTTAATATAGGACTATGGTTTTTTTACTCCATAAAAGAGATTTCCATTTTAATAATAAATTTCATTCTTTAAGAATTGAAATTACAAATGGCTAAGACATATTTTATGTATTTACATAATGACTTTCATATAATAGTATGTAGAAGTTGCAAATAAATGATAATTTATATTAACTATTAAGTACTGAATTATTTTATAAATTCTTATGTAATTGAAAATTTCTACTAACTTTATCTTTTTTTCTGATTCCTATTGATCAAAGGTGCATCATCACATACAATCAATAGGAATTGTAGAAAAATTAGTAAATTCGACTTTAAAACATTATTGAATAGTGCATCAAAACCCAATGTGATAATACTCCATCTTCATAACTCATAGCTTCTTAAATTGAAAAGGGAATATTAATTAAAAATTCTATGCAATTGTAAAAATATAAGTTTTTAAGTTACTTTACCTTCGGATCTCTCGTAAACGTCTTGGCCTATCAAACTTAAATTAAATCTTTTTTCCAGAATATTATCAGCTGAAGTCATTTGATTTCCAAGAAATATGTTGTCGGCTGGAATCTCTTGATTTCCAAAATTATCATCTAACATTTCCTGATTTTCAGGAAGAACGCCTAAAATTTCCCAACATTTAATATTATCTACTAAAATTTCATGATCTCTAGGTAAAAAGCACCAATGGAGCAAATATTTATTTTTTGGTTTATTATACATGCTATAGGGTATGTTGGATTCATCATGAATAGTAATTATAATTTCATTATTAATTTTATCATAATGAATAGTAGCACGAAATTTTGGACCACAATCACAATTTTCTAGGTATTGGAAAGAAACACCAAAATTCCAGTTTGCTGGCAGATTTTCGGGCACTAAGATTGAGATACCCAACTTTTTTGCATACGCAAATTCATGGCTGCCTGATGCAAATATAGAGATATCTCTAGTATTTGGACTATAGAACCCGATTTCTGGGAGTCCAACCATAATCCAAAACATTCGTAAATTTGAGTATATAGACCTGCTAAAAGTTGAAATTAAACAAATTAAGAATCATTTATCATGCTATAAATATCATCAGCACGTAGTTAATAAATACTTACATAGTTTTGCTGATGTCAATTAACACTATGAAATTATGCGCAGTCATAGCTTTGAATTTTATAACTACGTCAATTATTTTCCCATCTTGCGATATAAGTCTTCCAAAAATCTTATAATTACCAGAATTTAAATTGCAAGGAAGGTTTACGAAGTAATAAAGGGAATCTGTAACTGTAATTACTCCTGACATAAGTATTTTTTCTTTTTTAACATTTATATTTTCTGTTTGATCATGAATTCCAAAAATTGACTTGACTTTTCGCTTTAAATTATTATCCAATAACTCATATAAAGAATGTAATTTATCCCAACAAATAATTTGTAGATTATTATCACTTAAGAAAGATGCCCACTCTTTAATGTCTTCTCGCTCAAATTTTCCTGAATTCATTGATGACAAATGCAATTCATCGAAGCTAAAATGTCTAATTGAATTACTCCACTCTTTCCAAAATTCCGTAAACTCCATTGTTTCAAAATATTCGCGGGTTACTATTTTTTTCTTCCCTAACATAGTCTTATTTCTTTTTAGACATGACATCCTATATAATTTATGCCCGAGAATCACCCTGCTTGGTACAAAATAACCATATTCATCAAAAACTTTCAATAATTCGTGATAGGGATCGTTATGTTCCAAAGCAATTTTAATGTCTTTAATCAATTTTTCAGGTAATTTCATATTTTCTTTCTCAAAAACTATTTCCCACAATGGATACTGTATTTCGAGATAAACTTGATTTGCAGGTTCATTAACCGATTGATTTAAAATAAGTTGGAAATACTCAAAGTTAATCTTGGACGGCTTGATGCTATATTTTAATAATAAAGAGTCCATTTGTGTTTTAACAGAAACTGAATTTATATAGAATTTTCCAGCATCGCGATTTATAGGATTAATTTTAATTTGAGTTTCAAATTTGTATTTAAAATTTATTCCCCGGTTGCAAATAATCAAACCATAGTTTAATTTTTTATCCCTGACTAAAGATTGTATCAAAGATTGTGCCTTAATAAACTATAGATAGATAAAGAATTATAATTAATAAGTCGGTTGAATTTTCGAATTTCAAAATTAATAATGTTACTTATAAGTACAAATATTTATTACTTACATCCTCAATTTCATCATCCTTCAAATCTTGCTCAGTAGGGTTCAACATCTTTAAGAAATTCGGATTCAACTCTTTCACACATGTACAATATTCCTTGATAATTTGATCAAAATCTTCTTTTATGCTCGCAACATCTTGATACTTTGTAGAACCATGAATCTGCGTCACGCATTTGACAAATTCCTTAATATTCGTCAAAGAATTTTTAAATTTCTCAAGTGTAATTAAATTCTTTAACTTAAGATGTTCTAAATCAAAATTCCTGCCAACTTTTTTACTGTCCTTTTGATATTGTAATAAATTTGCAATAGGTTCTGTTGAAAATATTACCAACTCAATAAAGGCGCTACGAATCGATTTATTATAGCGAGCTGTTAGACAAATTTGTTTGATTTCATAAATATCATTACTCATATCATTACTCATTGATGTTTCGTTATAAATGAAAGACATTATCTTTTTACAGTGTTGAATGCACGGCTAAAAGATATAGAATATAATCGTAATAATTGTGTGCGAAATAACAGTCCATGGGATAAACCTTGGTTGAAACTGACATACTTAATAACATTGATATTGAAATAAGTTATTTGATTGTCTTTACTGCGCCTTTAGCCGCAGTTTGTTTTGGTTATGGTAACACCTCAACGCTGTGTCTACAAATCCTAAATACTTTCTTTCCGTAGAGTTACCAATCACTTTGTATATTAATTTTGATTGCACAAAGAAAAGTTTGGTGGAAACACATACATAAAAAGCAAAAAGCAACCTGAGCATGTCATAAAATTACTATATTTGAGTTGTATAACCATGCCAGAAAATTCGGATTTTTTATTTATCATATAAATAATAAAGTATGTACGTAGTTGCGAAATATTAATAGGAAACTCCGCCTAAAAGTCGGACATGCATTATAATATTCCGTTTTACTTTGGAAAAAATGAGAAAGAATGGGTATATAAGTAATAATGACAATAACGAAAAGCATAAATACATTCCGCATAAAGAAAAAAACTTTGATGAAACTCAAGACATGCTCAAAGTACAAAACCAACTTGTTTCGAGAAAAGGCGTTAACAACGACGATGCATGCATAGATTTACCACAATTTTCTGAATTTACGCCATTAGATAATACATATATATCATTAAATAATAAATTACAATCATCTTGTCTTGATTTAACTCTGAAATTTGGAGGATATATATTCGATAACAATATTGTTATTAAAAAAGCTTCTAAACAAGCCTTTACAATTGATGTTGACAAGGTTGAATCAAAAACTGAAATAAATAACGAGATAGAAAATGTAGAAAAATGCGACAGCAAATTAGAAGCTTTATTAAAACGAAATTTTATATCTTGTAAAAATATTTCAAACCTTTTCCCTTGTCTTTCTGTTTTTCTTGGAGCTGCATCTTGTAAAACGCTTGATTATATAACAACCGTGGAATGTTCATATAGAAAATGGGAAAAGGAAGAACTTAAGATTTCAAAATCAAATATTAACCCAACAAATAATTTTATTATGCAAGTTGAGAATGCGTTAGAAAGTGATGATAAAGAGGCTCAGCTTCGTAGGGTATCAAACGAATTCGGCAATTTTTACGCACGCCGTCTTGTTTTCGGAGGTGCCATGATTGAGGAAATCATAGGTAATTTACAACTAATCATTCATGAATTGTTTTTATTGAATATTTGAGTTGAAATTTTTGGTTTGACGGTAGATATTGATGACAGTCAAAACTATGAAATTAGAGTCATTGGTGGAAATAAAGAATATACTAATATTAATAGTTCTTTAAAGCCTTGGGTTATGTCTCTCAATAATCGTGATACTTGGGATATTATTGAATATGATGAAATTTATTCAATATTTGATATTTTGGATTATAGCTTACAACAAACCATTTTAGATGTTTTGGGCCACCGCATTTTAAAAGGTAGCTTTGCATACAATTAATATGATATTAATAATAATCATACATAATTTTACGATCAATTAATTTTAGTGCGTGCTAATTGTATTTTGTAGCGGGTATCAATGACATTCCAATAAATTGGGATTTTTCAAATAATGCACCATATGTTCATTCACTAGCCCCGCAATTTACAGGCTTGGATAAAATCACAAAGATTACTAATTGCTATATATTTGCTTCGATTTTAGACAAAAAAGACAGAGACATTTTTTCTTTACGAATAGGTTATATTGATGAGCATACTCCTTTGTTCATAGTTCACCTTAAGAAACCTTCATATATAAAAAAATACAAAAACTACCCAATAAAATATGGATGGATCATTGTCGGTCAGCCTACAAATTTTGACTTTGACCGAATAAAATACCCTGTGGTACTTAAAAGCGGTGAACTTCCTACTTCTAATGTAGATAAACTGTGTAAAATAGAATTTTCTAAATATAGAGAATTAAATACATGTGCTCTTGGACAGCCAGAAATTAAAACAGCTTTATTCTGCTGGTAAGTAACGTTTAAAGACTTCTTATTCTCATTTTTTTCATACTTATTAACTTGATCTTGTAGTTTTAACGATATAGACAAATCTTTTCAGTCATGCGAATTTGAACAAGTAATTGTTAACTGGCAAAAAGATCAAAATAAAATTCGATTAGACACATCAAATTATCAATATTTTAGTAACTTTTCTAGAAATAATAGAAAAAATTTTTGCTTTTTTTTACCTTAAATAATTTTAATGAGTGTAATAAGATAAATTTTGTCATTCTTAAATTTTTTCTAATAAACTTTCAAGCGCTACGTACTCTTCTATCTTTAAATTGGAATTGATTTATAATATAAATTTAGTAAAGCAAACTTAACGTTTATAAGATATATCTAGAGTTGACACATTTAGGCCAACTCCAATTTAATTCGGTGGTTTACATTACATCTCCACTTCAAAAGGGGGGAGCGTTTTCAAGGGTTCACATAGTAAAATTTTCGAAAATTTTTTCCGAAATGTTCAGTTCAATATAAAATTGTTCCGAAATGACGCGTAATCCTTTTGTTATTTACTAAAATCTTTTTTACTATGAGGGGGGGTAATGTAAACAACTGAATTGAATTAGGGTGGCCTTATCTGTTGACTTTATAGAAAAATAATTTGGAGCCAATAATGACCAACAATATTTTTTTCAAATTTCTAAAAAAGTATTCTAACACTTTATATTATTCTCACTCGGATAAGTTTATTTATTCGAAGAAGATACGCAATGGGAGGGTGCCATTGCTGCAGCTCTAGCTAATATTGGCGCCAGCATGTTTGCAATTATTTAGCGTCACAACAAAGTCACGTGCCGAAGCTTTAAGAGAATCGGACAAGTGCAAAAGGTGTAGCGAGTCAATTATATATAACAACTCTGCATAGTTTTCTTATCCTTCCTTTCTTATTTCTATATTCATATATATTTTCACTGATTTCGCGTTCAGTATTATACGTACCATATGGGCAAAATTTGATTTAATTCCAGTCAAATTTGCAGACTATTTGGCCTAACGGAGATGAGTCTCTATTAGGCCAAATGATCTGCAAATTTGACCGGAATTAAATCAACGATCTACATAAATAAAATACCACAAGGGTTGAATCACTTAACAAAAAAATACAAACAAAAAAAGTTAAACGATAAGTAATAAATTAATCATTTTATTTATTTTGTGATGTTCGAAACTTTTTTGGCGCGGAATCTACGGACAGTGCTTAGGGACAGTGCCAACCGCTAAATAACCAATCACAACTTAAACACGTGATTTTGCAGGATGATCGATGTGGCGCAGTAACGCAATTAACGGCTATGTCGATCATCTACCTAAAATGGGTTTCCCGGGATTATCGGTCGTAAAAGTCGTTTAGTAATTATAAGGGTAATAGCGGTAATAAGGGTTTTAAGGGAAAACTATAAGTAAAGGGATATATGATATTTAGGGGCTTTAAGTAATATAGGACATTAAAAGTGTATACGTTAAATAATACGTTTAATATGTTTAATAGCTGTAAGAGCGCATATGTAATAGAACAGTATATAATAAATGCTTCGAGCCCTACATGAGGAGCAGTTTTCGTGCTTGCAATACATTTTGACCCAAAAAGTTTCCTGCTTTCGTGACAATATATTGTAAAACCTACGATCATAAACACACCACTCTCCAAATCTAACCGCCTCTTATCGACTAAGCCGTTCGTAGGTTACGTGACGTATCCATTTGTCAAGCGACTGACTCGCCGTTTCGTGTCACTACGTAGAACTTTTATTTGTCTATCATTCTATATATATATGCGTATACTTGATAAAATTTTTTTTGCCGTTGGTAGTTCTTACTTACTATTCCTTGTTTGTAATAAATACAACCATCATTAAGTCATTCTTTAAACAACATTATTATAACATGGGTGTTAATAAACCGATTTGGCGTCATTTTGAAATGTTAAATGAATTTAAAATATATTCCTACTGATTATCTTTATATATATTTTTATAATTCATGAAAAATTAAAAAATTTAACTATATTCCGCGAATCCCGCGCGGGATTTTTAAAAAACTGCGATTTGCCCATCACTAACCGACAGTATCGTACAACGTGGACTAAAAGACCACACTTATAATACCCCTTACGATTCTCAGAGGCCTAGAATGTAAAGTACCCTGGACACTAAGGACGGATTAATTGTACTTGGAATTGTAAAACACCCGGGTACTAAAGATGAGTTAATTGCACTTTCATATACAAAAAAATTACTGCGGCACTCGTATAGTGCTACTCTGACCATAGCATCTCCGACTATATTCAGTTCAAATAGTAAAGTACTCTGCTGTTTTAGTCCATGCTGTACGGTACATGATTTTTTATAAATTACACTAACCTTAACTCTAATTCTAAACCTGACAGTAACGACAGTGACCAGAACTACTTTGTCGGCGAATCTTAATTGTCGATGAATTGATTGTCGGCGAATCGTACTGTTTTTTTTTTTTACTTACACGTTTACCAGGAACAAGGTTTTACTGGAAAGTATGGTTTACAACCATTTGTGCGATTCTTGAATTCTGTTGGCCACTATGACCTTTCATTCTATTTTATAGGCATTTTCGTGATTGCTTGGTGAATTGTGCGTTTATATTTAGAGTCATTTTTGTATGCATAATATATGCTTACATAACTAATGTTGTATTTATAATTATGACATTCGCTATATTGCTGTATTGACGTATTGCTGTAACTGCCGTATTACTGACATTGTAATGAAATTAGAAAGAAGTGCAATGAAAGATTTAGAAGAATGCAATGAACGACTAGAGATGATATTGATAGATAGAAAAGGCGCAATAAAAGTTGAGAGTACTGCATTATATCTAATATTTTTATTATAATTATTTATTAATAAAGTTATCAACTTAAATACAGAAATAGAAAGTAGAGTTTATACGGAATTATAGAATAGTAATACAACATTATAGTGATACGTATAGTTTAATAGGGTTACGGCTTTTACAGACTCAAGATTTTATTCATAACTAATTGTGACATATGACATTATGATTCAGTATTACAATAATAATAATATATGTTTATATGAATGCTAAGATTAGGTCAGTATATAAACAATTTATCGTTTATAGTTACAATTGTTGAGATTTTTGAATAAAGTTTATTGATTTTGTCCATTCCCGGCTTAGCGCAACTATGCTGCGCAGGTTGCGCAGTTACTTTTATTTATGCATCCTAAAATTAAACATGACGATCACTTCTATTTTATCGAAAAATGCAGGAATAATTTTAAGCATTGTGTTTTAGCAGTCTTTATACGCAGCAAATTTAAATTTATATAAAATTGGCGTGAATACCTATTTATCGTTACGACCTTTAAACAAATTTGTTATTAAATATGCAATTATACGGACTCATTTTCATTGTAGAAGATTGTCAAAATCCTGTCCCTTTACAAGATGTTTCTGTGGATGCGAACAGTAAAACTATTTTTACACATTTTGGATATATATATTTTTTTAATGTTGCTAATGTTCTTATTAAATTTAATTAGTCGTTGATATGATAGCCGAAAGTAATTGATTTTACATAATTATAATTTTTATCATACTTTGTATGTACCTAAAAGTTTTAATCTTCTGATTTAGCAACGGTTTGCCAGACCTATAAAAATGTTGAACAAAATACAATTGAAGCCATTTACAAATTTCCGCTTCATGAAGCTGCAGCAGTATGTGGATTTGAAGCTGAAATTGATGGAAAGAAAAAAGTTAAAGGAATAGTTAAAGATGCAAAGCAAGCTACGAAAGAATATGATGAGGCTATTCAGGTAACGCGGAATGATTATTTGTGTGTACATATTTAGTTTATTTACACAAAATTTGATTACGCAGAAAGGTCATGGGGCTTATCTCTTAGAAGAACAACTTCCAGATGTTTTCCAATGTTCCGTTGGTAATATCACAGCTGGTCAAACGGTGGTTATCAGAATCACATATGTAACTGAACTAAAACACGATGCTGATTCTGAGAAAGTTCGATTTGTTTACCCCACTCACATCGCTCCACGATATGGCTCATCTAACTATTCTCCTGCAAATGATGGGAAAAAACTTATTCCTGATAAAGTGTCCTATGGAAAGGCTGATTATTATTTAGATCTTAATATTACATGTAGAATGACTTCTATTATTCAAAGCATTGAATCACCATCTCATCATATTTCAACTGAATTAAATATTGATGGTGATCCTAAAGTTTCAAAGATTACTCTAGCTGAACAAATTACTTATTTAGAAAAAGATTTTATACTTGTTGTTAAAAGTTTGGATCTCGATCAGCCAAGGTAATACAGTAATACTTTTATTATCATATTGTTTATCTCTTAATTAATTATATATATTTTTTCTGACTATAGAGCCTTTGTTGAATACAACCCAAAAACAGAAACTAATTGCGTTATGTTAACTTTAGTACCAAAGTTCGCTATTAATGCAATAATGACAGAATTGATTTTTGTAATTGATAGGTAAAGTTCAAAAAAAATATATACAGTATAATAATAGCAAATTTTATTCTACTTTATTATGATATCATTATTAACCCTATTGCAATAGATCTGGTTCAATGTCAGGTGGAACTATAAAAAAAGCTTCTGAGGCACTTCAATTGCTTCTTCGTTCATTACCTGAAGATTGTTTTTTTAATGTGGTATCATTCGGATCCGACTTTGATTCGCTTTTTAAAAAGAGTCAACCTTATTCTGAAGGAAGTTTTTCAAAAGCTCTTAAACATGCTCAAGAAATGACAGCAAATTATGGAGGAACTGAAATTTATAATCCTATAAAATGGGCATTTGAAAATTCAAGAAATGATATGCCAACTTCTGTTTTTCTTCTTACTGATGGTCAGGTTTATAATGTTGATCAAATTGTAAATCTTATTAAATCTTGTGAAGAAAAGAAAAAGGATGATCTAAGGTTCTTTTCAATTGGAATCGGTTGTTCAGTTTCTCATCATTTAGTTGAATCTGTTTCCCGAGCTGGTAAAGGATATGCTCAATTTGTTACAAATACTGAACGAATGGATAAAAAGATTCTTGGAATGTTAAAAAATGCTATAAAACCTCCTATTAAGGATTATAATATTACTTGGACTGATCAGATTATTGAAGATTCTTTACCTATGGAAATTAGTACAATCGATAACCCAACTATTAGTTTCTTTAGCGATAATACTAGACCTCCACCAGCTAATCAAGATATTCTTCCTGATATAAAAATTCAACAGGCACCATTCTTAATTCCACCAATTTACCCTGGTGCTCGATATATAGTTTATTGTATTTTAGAAAAAAATGTTGAAGCTTGTAAAGAAATTATTCTGAGTGCAAATTCTCATGATGGCCCTATGAAGCTTTCAATTCCCTTAGACCCTGTAATTTTACAGGGATCGAAAATACATACACTTGCAGCTAGAAAGCTTATTCAAGATCTTGAAGAAGGAACTTCGTTCATTCATAAACATCCAATGAATGAGGGAAAAAATATACAAAATACGCTTGTTCGAGAGCATATTGTGAATTTAGGTGTAACCTATAGTTTGGCTTCTAAATATACTAGGTAATTTTTTACGAATTTTTCCAATATACTTTATTATTTTATGATTAGTATTAATAATTTTTGTTTTTGCTATAATTAGCTTTCTTGCAATTGATGAAAGAGATATGTCAGTGACCAAAGTCAAAAGTCTACCAGACCAAAGAATTATTCCAATTTCTTCTGCTTCTGTTAAGAAACGACGTAAAACGCGTAAGTTATGTATCTCTTAATCTGATTTCATAATTGAACTGTAATTCAATATAACACATATAATTTGATAATGAAGATGCAACAGCTCGGTCATTATCTGTAACATCAAAAAATCGCAATCTTAGAACAAAACAGACTGCAAGAAAATCTACGGGAGGTACGCTATCTTCTGCAGTAGAATCATCCAGTATATTAGTTTCACCACCATCTTCACTTCCAGGCTCAGCTCCTTGTGCTGTACCTTATCAATTAATTATGCAAGATTCTAATCAATCACTTGTGCAAGTTTTACCAACTGCTACTGTAAAATCGAAACCTCCAATAATTGAAACTTTATATAGTTTTCTCGATCTTCAATCATTTGATGGTTCATTTTTACCATCTAGCAAATTTTATTCTTGGTTTGATAAAAATGGTTTTAAAGATTTTGAAGTTATTGAAATTGAAAATGAGAAAGTATTATGTTTAACATTAGCAATTGCATATTTGGAAATTATAATGTTTGAAACATTTAAAGATGAATGTGAATTATGTTATGAAAAAGCTAAAAAAATTTTGAAAAAAGAAGTTGGTGATGAACGAAAAATTAATGAGATTTCGAAAAAAGTTAAAGAATGGGTTAAAATGTGGGTTGATGAATAATCACTTAATATTATATAAAATACATAAGATGTGTTTTATTAATTAATTTGTGATTTTGAAACATTTATTTATATGTAGTATAAAGGTAGATTTTATATTTAGCAATTTAGGATAAGTATCTTATATATACTCCAATTTATTTTATCCATATTATTAAATGTATTCAACGGATATAATAAAAATTGTTTACTGATTTTATATCTAAAATTAATTAATACCTTAAGTCTATTAGCGCTGAGTCCATCGCTATCATTATTAAAATTGTGAACCAATCCACTGTTTAAATAATTATTGAATCATAAACAACCAGCCGTTAAAATCACCAATTCACTGTATTATAATTACTGAGTCAGATGTTAAAAAGTCAACTCAATATTGAATTCATTTACTTGCCGAAATCATTATCCTACCCAGTGTTGTAATCACTTCTAAAACTTTGAACCCACCCATTGTTAAAATCATTGACCTATATTTTGTTGAAATACTAAATCGCATTGTTAAAATCATGAACCTGCCCATTACTGAATTCACTAACCACAGTTGAAATAATTAGCCCACTAACTAATGAAATCACAAATTACAATTACAAACCTACCCATCCACTATGTAAACTCAGATCATGTTCACTCATTAAGAATCAGAACTATCTCAAATAATATAACCCATTCACTATTATTATACTGGTTTCTACAAAGGAATGGTATTGTTATTAATGTGCGAAGATTAAATAAGCTTGTACTTTATTAAAGAAGTTAGTAAAATAATAACCAATAACGACAATACTTAATAAATATCCGTAATTTTGATCGATAAATAAAAAAAAAGTTAGAAGATCACGCACCAGAAAGATTTTGTCACCATAATCTCCGATAATTTATCCCTTACACCGTCTAGTAGACGCAGACAAATTTTCCGCATGCAAATACCAAACATCTTAGTCAAATGTCACGTTTTTGCCCTAAAAATCACACAGAGTTGTGTCGATAACACTGAAAGTAAACGAAAGAATTCAAAGGACACGAGGTCCATGCATTGCCAAAAATAATGTTAGCAGAAAGTCTCAGATGAGTGATTTAGCTTGCTTATGACATTGTATACCTTTAAATTATAATTTACGAATTTGTCAAAAATTAGTAGGAAAATTTGCCTGTAATACAGTTTAAGGAATAAGGTCTACTGACATATGCACAAACAAATATTTGTGTTGATGAGTCATTTTTATTACATAATGAAGTATGACAGAGGATTCCAAATATTAGTACTGTACAATATAATTTTACCATCTATAGTATTAAATTCCAACCTTGGGTTTATGTAAAACTACAAGTCCTAAGGTGAATATAAAAAATGTTGTGTACTGTTACGACTATTCGAAGAGCAACATAAATTTATTCATAAATCAGTTCCAGTTGCGGCACTGAATTGAATTCTAGAATAACTTGTTTAATCGGATTAAACTCAATTATTATTAGTTCAACACTTATACATTTATTAACTAAACTATTGAGATTTTTTATACATCTTAGATCCTTACATGATGTGATCCTCTGGAAGGCTTCACCACACGTCAGCCTCACACAGTATAACATTTAAAGATAACAGACTTAAACTATGACTATATTAAGGGTGGCTATAATGAGGTTTTACTATGAAAAACAATGTAAAATGAAGCAATAAAAATAAAACACTACATATACATATAAAATAATAAAGGAACCATAAAAATAAAAAATATGTAGCGAAACTAATAATAATAAAAAATGCATAATAAATAATTTGTACCAGTACTCCATCTTCATGGCTTTGAAGTTCTTTGATGAAAAAATTAATATTGTATTAATTAAAATTCGATGCTATTAAAAAGAATGTTTAGGTCATATTACCTTGGCCAATTAAGCTCAAATTAAATCTTTCTTCGGGAGACACAGTAGTTAAAATTTCTTGGCTTTCAATAATGGAGGTTAAATTTTTATTGTTGGGAAGAACATCGATTAAAACCTCTCGTTTCTTAAAAACATCTGCTAAAACTTCATGACCTTCAGGGAGAATACACCAATGAAGTAAATATTCTTTTTTTAATTTATCATAGATTTTAGGGCTTATGCTGAATTCATCATAAATAACAAATGTAATTTTATGATTAATTTTATCGTACTGAACAATAGTACGAAAATTCGGTCCACAATCCTTTAGATATTGGAAAGAAATACAGAGAATCCAGTTTGTTGGTAGATTTTCAGGTACTGGGAATGCAACAATCAACTGTTTTGCATACGCAAATTCATATCTATCTGATGCCAATATGGAGATATCTCTAGTATTTGGACTATAAAAACCGATTGTAGGAAGACCAACCATGATCCAAAGGATCTGCAGATTTGAGTGCATGGACCTACTGAAATTTAAAATTAGATAAGAAAACTATAACTGTTATTTAACAAATAGTTAAACGAATACTTACATAGTCTGATTAATATCAATAAACACTGCAAAACTATGTGGAGTCAGGGCCTTAAATTTTATAACAGTGTTAAGTGGTTTCCCATCTTGTGCTACAAGTTTACCGAAAATCTGATAATTTTCAGTGTTTAGTTTATATGGAAATTTTATAAAATAATAGAAAGAATCTGTAATTGAGATAACTCCCGACATCAACACTTTGTTTTTAACTTTTATGTTGTCCATTCCGAAAATGGCATTGACGCTTCGCTTCAAATTATCATCTAATAGCTCATATAAAGGATATAATTCCCAACTAATAATTTGCATATCGTTATTATCATTTAGGCAAGATTCTGCCCATTTAATAAGCTCTTCTCTCTTAAATATATTAGAATTCATTGATAACAAATATGATTGGTTAAGGTTAACATGTATCGAATTGCACCACCGATCCCAAAGTTCCTTAAACTCATCTGTTATAAAATATTCACTAGTTTTGATCCTTTGCTCTCCTGCCAAGGTTGCGTCATTTTGCAGACATGACATTCTATGCAATTTGTGCCCAAGAATAACCTTTTTTGGTACAAAGTGTCCATAATTTCCAAATTTTTGAATTAATTTGTGATAAGGGTTACAGGAATTCAAAGAATCTTTAATGTCTCTGATAAATTTTTCAGGCAGTTTCATTTCTTTTGTTTTGAAAACTAATTCCCATCGTGGATACTGAATTTCCAGGTAAACATCATTAGGAGGTCTATTAACTAATTGATTCGAAACAAGTTGAAAATACTCGGAGCTAATTGTAGATGGCTTAATGTTGTATTTTAATAAAGTGTCCCGTTGAGTTTTAATAGGGACCAAATTTATATAGAATTTTCTAGTATCACTATTTATAGGATTAATTTTAATTTCAAGTCGAGGTTCGAATTCATATCTTGAATTTATTCCCCGATCGGAAATAATCAAACCGTGGTTTAATTTTTTATCTTTCACTAAAAATTGTTTCTTAATAAACTACAAATAAAGAAAAATTATGATTAATACGTTACATGAGTTTAGATTTTCGAACTTCAAAAATAATGCTCAGTTAAATAATATTATTAATATTATCTATAGATGATATAAATGATTTTAACGTACATCCTCAATTTCGTCATCTCTCAAGTACTCTTGCTCAACCATGTCATGCATTTTTGAGAATTTCGGATTCAGGTCTTTTACGCAAGCCCAATATTCTTTCATAATTTGATCAAAATAATCTTTTATACTCTCAAGATCTTCATAATTCTGTTCTATGGAACCATAAATCTGCGTTACACATTTAATTAATTTTTCGATATCCACCAAAGAATCTTTAAACCTGATTAACTTTTCATTTGAAATTGCATTTCCTTGACAATTTATTTGAAATTGTAATAACTTTACAATTGGTTCGGCTGAAAGTATTGCTACCCTAACGAGATACCTATGAATCGTTTTATTATACAATGCAGTTTTACCAATTTCGACTATATTTTTACACTTCGTATATGCTTCATAAAGATCGGATGACATTTTTTTGTTCTTACAATGTCATATGCACGAATTTGATGCTTGTAGTCTAACTAAATTTATCAATTCGATTAAGCTGATATTTAAACTCTTGTCGTTAAGGTTATTTAATCGTTTAATTCTCCGAATACCTAAATAATAGGTAGACTAAGTAATTTTTCTAAAAATTGGCTAACTTAATCGACTAAATCAACTTTATATACTAGAACCAAATTGACTACAATCACAAATTACTATGCTAAAATTTCTAAGTATTTAGAATTGGTATTTATCGCATCATTCAACAATCATTTAAATACAGAGTTGCAATACTTTTTCCAATAGTTACGCGAGTTTATAATTATTCCCTTTTTTAAAAGGGTAACTCAACTTCGATATACATAGTTACGCGAAATTCTAGTATTTCGGATGACACTTGATCACGCTATGTAAACAAAAGAAAAAATTTGTCAATTTGAATGAAACAAACTGTTTATTGTAAAACATGGCCTTTCGGTGCAGTTTCGGATTTAACTTCCTCATATAACTTATTTTTAAAATGTTAACAGAAAATTCTGACTGAACAAGTTAATTTTATGTTCATTGCTCCGAGTAATGGTTACCTTATCGATAATAATCACAATCGTGCTTTTCAAATTACTATGATCATGTATCACACAGGCTGGAAAAAATTCCAGTATATGATTTGCTAAAAATTATTTGATTGATTTTTTAGCCAATTACATATTGACATTTTTTATAGATTCCTGATTCCAGTGTGAAATTTGCTGATCACAGTATTTGAAATGCATTAACGACGATGACGCAAGCATAGATTTATCTAGGATATGTACTTGATAATAATTATATTAAGAGTGCTTCTAAATATGACAATAAAATTAGAAGCTTTATTCAAACGAAACCTATGTTTTTGCTTTGTTTTTCTGTTTTTCTTAGAGTATTATCATATACTCCCACTAAATTCTTAATAGTATAACAACCACTGAATGTTCATATAGAATGGGAAAAAGAAGAGCTCATCATTTCGAAACAAAACATCAATCTTACAAATGATTTCATTACAGAAGTTAAAGTGCGTTAAAATGTGAGGATAAAGAAGCGTCTTGTCTTCGGAGGGGCTGTAATTAAGAAGACATCTAGTGAAGGAGTAATTAAATTAAACCTTGGATTAAATCTCTCGACAATTGTGTATTGGATGATAATTCACAGAAATAAATCTGTTCTAGGTTACTACTAACTATTAATTCATTTTAAACTATATTAAAAAATGCTTACCGACCCTTATTCGGTAAAAAGGGGCGTTTGAAGGTTCTTCTCACAAAATTTAAATTTTAGGGTGGCTAAAAATGAAATGACAACTATTTTCATTTACAGTGAATATTTGTTTAATATCCGACATTTCATATGGTCATGTGAAATTTTTTTGCATGAAATTACGTAATCAGTCTAGCAAAATATAAAATATTACAGAAATATCAACATCATTATTGAACATACGTACAACGGAAATTTTTTTTCATCGGAGTTAATTTCACTCATATACATACAGCGTAGCACACATGGACATTAACTCCGGATTTGGTTTGGCCAAATGAGGTGCGTCACTAATAAACAAAGATTTTGTCATTTTATTTTTAACCATCCCTAAAACTCAAATCAAACTGTTTCTTTTTTATTCAATAAGACCGGAAGCATATTTTTCTTAAGTATGACGATCATCTGATCTATAGCAAAAATTCTATACACGTGATCTGGTATCAATAACACTACTAAATTAGGATTTTTCAAAAAACGTAACATATGTTCCACAAAAATAAACAATCGTATATTTTTGCTTCAATTATAGACAAGTGTGATAGAGATACTGTAGTTTTTTTTTACAAACTAAAAATTTTGTGTTACACAAAAAACTAGATAGCTGCACGACGTCATCGCAGCTTATGTCTAAGTACTTTACACTTCAACAAATTATTTTTTTTAAAAAATTGAGTCAGCCAATATGTGTATTGGATTCCATATTAATATGGATTCTTACAACAAACCACGACCGCTGTCCATATGATGCAAGATCCACTCACAAGCTTTTACAGTATAGATTATTATGAATTGCGCATATAATAGTTCTAAATTAAGCAATTAATTATTGTATACTTCTGTACGTACGTACGTACCTGACCTTATGTTCTTGTTTCCTTAGATAATCTGAATGCTCAATTAGGAGAAACGTCAAAGCAGGTTCGGTTAGGAATAGTTTTTCTGATGTAATTAGGGATATTGTTTATAAAACGAACCCTCAATTAGTACTAATGGTTGCACTTCTGCGCCTAACCTGATTGCTTCCGGTTATTCTTGCTTAGCTATGTTTGCCTAATGTTAATGAAATATTATCTGCATTTGGAAATGATTATTGATATTTGATAACGATAATTACACCTCACAGAAATTTGGGTTTATGTTTATTTTATCTTTTTAACGACAAGATCATATTTCTTACACTTAAACCGTTAACAAAGCAATATATACAAGTTCAATCCATGTGACGATGTAACATTGTAAAATTTGAGTGCATTTGATGCATTATACGATTTTTGCGGACGATCATTTAAATTGCAGTATAACAATACACTTCGTTATTTGCATTACTCGTTCCTGGTATTTGATTAGTGAAAAATGTGATGTTGATCACTGTACAGTACCTATTGAGTGACTATAAATGGGTATATGCGTAGATTTAATACGTAAACAGATATGTTTAATAGGGAATTTTATTATTAATTTTAATTTGTTATTTTTATTAGGAGCGGGAAAGGGCATTTGGTCATATTATTATGAGGAAATAATCTTCAAATTCTAATTTTTAGCAAGATAAGTATGACTACAAATATGAACGTACAAATAATACTAATACTACATTATTGTCATTATTTAGGTACATTATAGAAGAGACAAAGATTAGTAATTTGGTTTAATTAGATAAATAAATATCTAATATTTTGTAGCATATATTAGCAAATTATTTGGTTAATTAAGCCAAATTACTATTAATTAAATAATTATATTATTTAGAAATTTATAATCATAATTAGTAGAGTTATTCATTAAATTTTAATTTAAACAAATATAATTATTCCTTAATGCGTAAATAATTGCACAAATTTGTTTGCAATTATATATAAATATGTTTTTGATTTATTTTTTTAAATATTTAAATATTAAAATGAAATTTATATATTAATATTTGAAAATAAGTATTATAATTTATTTTTATTACATTTGTATTTAAATTATAAGAAAAAAAATCGTAATTGCAAAAAATATATAATATTAAAAAAGAAAATTTATTAGTTTATACATAGAGTTTATATATAGGTATTAATTTATTTATAAATTTATGTAAGATATTAATTATAAAACAAAAATTAATCTAGTTTAAAGTTAGAGTATAAATAGCTTTAGGATTTAGACTAGTTTAAAGTTATATTAAAATTTTGTAATTTTTTTTATTAAAATCTTAAAAGTTATTTTCTAATTAATATTTTAAAATATCAATATACTATATATATATATAATATACACTTTAATTTGAAATTTAGTGAGTTTGTTACTAATTTAACTCAATTCTTATATAACTTATAATAATTAAGTCATAATAGGTATATTAGATTTGGCCAATAGCTTCTTGTTTATAAGTATTAGTCTTTTTTTAAAGTCTTTCTTTTAACTTATTTTTATACCATACTTTAATAAAAAATTACAATACATTAAATTAAAATTGAAGCTTTTTTCTTATATTAATAGCCTTTTTAGTTATATAATACTAATGAATAATTAATAACAGATTTAATAATTTGTAAACAAATAATTGTATTTTTTTTTTTTTTAAATATTAATAGTGAGGTTATGTCTATAACTTTATTGAAATTCAATTGAAGTTTTTATAAAGAAAAGCTTACTTTTAAATTACATATGAAGAATAAAGACTCA